CACTTTAAAACTCGTATGCCCAGGGGGTTTCGTTTCATTTATTTGCTAATCTTAGGCCAATCAACCAGATACCGCATTTATGGTTATTGCTCTGTTGTGAAAAGAAAACCGTTGCGAGTAGATAGAAAAAGTATGGCAACAATAATGATACATAAGTTGGTCAAAGTTGAGTTTTAAAGAAGAATGAATTTGTTGTCAAAACAATATATTGGTTAGCTGACAAAGATTGGCCAAATTTTGGCACGTGAAATGACGACTCTAAGTCCATTAGCATTTAAAGTGGTCCGGAACCAGTAATTACTGGAAAAATGAATAAAAGTTGTTCTTTAATAAAATGAAATCGATTTATTTAGATCCGCATAAATGGCCCAAACCGCGTGATAAAAGATCGAAAGAGTATCAAAAAGTGGATCTTAAGTTTAATCTAGGCAAGCAGAAATGTTTACTAAACACCATTATCTTCTCGATGAAGCTTCCAACCAAAATGCTTACAATTTTTGATTATAGTAACGCAACATCAAAGGGGTACTTTTGTCATATTACTCAGCCAATCACAAAATTGGCAAATTCATAACCTTTCCGATCATTATGATCTCAATGGCAAAAACATCGGCGTCGGACATATAAACCAACAGAACTCTTGGTAACTGTTTAGAAAGACTTACCCCCTATCGACAAGAGTAACAGAGTTCTGAGCGGAGTCCAGTAGGCCCGATAGACAGTCGAGCAATTCCACAGGCGCGAGGTTGATTTCGTCAAGGAGAACCCAATCTCCATCCTCCAAGGCTCGAACCAGTGCACCTTCAATGAAAGCGAAGGCCAACGAAGAGGAAGAGGTACCATTAACAGAGGAGGCAAGGGTCAGCCGCCGCTCTAATGCCTCCAACTCGTTCCATAGCGACTGCCACTCAGCAAGTGAAGCTTTCTGGTGGCCGGCACCACAACTGTCACCGCTTTCAGAGGAGAGCTTTCGAATGGCAGCTGCTGCAGGATGCTTCAGCAGAGTCAGCAGGTCACGCCAATGGCCGGAGGTGGTGCGGCTCTGGTTGGATATAGAAAACAAATAAGAAAATATGCTCCAAAAAGACAGAATTTCTAACCTCCTTGATGTAATATAACTTTTAAAATTTGCCCTGAAAAAAATGCAATTTACCAGTACAGTTTCACGTTGATTATTTGAAAACCAAAGAATGTGATTTTGTAAGCAGTCTGGATTAGGGAAGAAATCTATTTCGGAATGTCTTGGTTACCCTAGACCGCGAATGCAAATTCTCAGTCACAAAACAAATATTATATCCATGTGTAAATAATGCGTTATCAGTGCCACTAAATTCAATGCAATGATAACGGACTAATAAAACGAATTTTGAGAAACAAAGATAGGTTAGGAACTGCAAAACGAAGATATTAAAGAGAATTTCCGGTAAATTTGGAGCATGAAAAATGGTTGTTATGGAGTTGATTGCGTTTTTCTCTAAGGATAATTTCGTCAACGCCCGAGTACCACACAAACAGACTAGTCGTCAGTAATAGTTTCACTAGGTTCAAATGTCCAAGAACACCCAAGTGCCATCTCCACAAGAAAACGGACAGGTGGTACTCCTCTGCCATGCAGTATGATTAAAGGAAATGACTAAATTTAGCATTTGAATCCCATTGACTAGTTTTGCCATGTATTTTGGGTGTTCTGCTTATCCATTTTCGACTATTCAAGAAAACATCACCAAAGCAAAGGGAACTTTACTAGAATTACAGTGTAGATTGTAATTCTTTTTCCTTTGATGGCAATTTCTTTACCTTCAACCGCGGAAGTGTCCTACAAAATGTTTTGAACTTCATATAACAAAGGTGTTCGGTATAGAAGATATGAGTAGGTTTTCACTGTCTTCAAAAGTTATGGCTTTGTTGAAGTTCTGAAAATGTATGCCGCAATGTTAAAGGAAGATCCAAGGCCTGATTTTTTAAACTTGCACAGAAGTCGCGTTGAAGGATGACTATATTAAAAAGTAATTTTGGATTTCCATCTTAATCCAACCTAACAAAAGCGACGGTTGAATTGGGTTATTAAATTAGACGCCAGTCCTAATACATTACCAATTATTGCTTCTTCAGAAGGCACGTATAAAAACAAGTTCAATCGCATCAACTAATTTCAGGTATGCAAAGTTTTTACAGTAATGAACGAACGAACCTGGATGTGTCCCAGAAACTGCCTATTCGACTCCAACCGAAAAGTCTTCACAAAGAGATTCTCAAACCTCTCCTTCACAGGATTGACGAGAGCTCGCGAGTCCACCGGCTTGAAGCCACCGAGGAGATCCACACTATCCGACTGCTGGCTTAGATTGAGCACCCGCAGTCGACGACCCGCCATCAGAGCGAGGCGCTGAACGGCTGAGGTCTTACCGGTGCCTGTCTCACCTACAAGGAGCACAGGCTCCGCATGCTCTACCGCCACCGCCAATTGTTCCATCAGCGCGCACACTAGCCGTGTGTCAGCGAATATCTGCCTTGACGATCTACGCCAAAAAGACCTCAAGCACTCAGAAAAGCACTATAGATTGAAATTTGTGCAAAGGAGGAGAAACTCACTTAGAGAGCTGAAGTTCCCAGTGAACCGACTTTTTAATGGGAAGAACGGCTCGCCCCGCTTCGACCTGAGTAAGAGCAGAGTTAATGTGCAATTTAGGTTTCCGTGATTTCCAGACTTTAGAGGACTGCTCTCGAGAGAAGTTGAAGATCCCGCCCAATTGGACAGCCACATCATCACGAGTAATACCGATGGGTTGGGAACAAACGAAACAGTCGAGGGCATCGAGATAGAGGTGAAGAGAAGCATCCGCATTGCCGGAAGTCTTCAGAGCTCGAGAGAGAAATTTAAAGAAGTCGCGTGAACAGACAAGACGTTGATTGTGAGAATTGGATATTGCGATATCTTTCAGCAGAGGGAAGGACAAAAGACGCTTCGCGAGAGGCAAGAGGTCTGGATTGCGAGCTTTAATAATCTAAAGTTCAAATAGGTTGTTTTTGCCTTTGTACAATGGTTGTTAGTCAAGTAGATAATTAAACACACCTTCTGAATTGTTTCCGCCGACATACCACTCATGTAAATAACAAAGCAGTTATTGGAATATACATCGGACTCAGAAATCTGATCAGAGAGCCCAACAGACGAGGAAATTGTGCGACGTGTAAGAAGCAATCTGAAATCTGGATGACAAGGCACGGGTTCACCAGTATTAGGATAGAGAATCTGTGCAGCAATGTCATTCGCCCTACGTAAAATGGGACTTAAGACAATGGATAGATCATCGGAGCCTTTGTCGACATCTTCCAAAATTAACCATTTCCCTGAGGTCATACAGCTGATAAGAGGTCCAGGACGCCAAACAAAAACTCCAGGGGTGTTTGAACAGCAGTAAACCCCAAGAAGGGCTTTCGTATCAGTTTGCTCGCTAATCTGCATGCGGAAGGTCGGAACCGAGCGGGACTTTGCAAGGAAATCGATGACTGCTGTTTTCCCACAGCCAACAGAACCACAAACAAGGGGGACCTCATTGCGATCAATAGCAAGAGCGATAGAAGCAACAGTATCCATGATCCAAGGAAGCGTAATAAAGTCAGTGTCTGAAGAAACGAATTTATCAGAATTCTTCGCTGATTCAACGTAAGAAGAGGAACACTTGAGAGAGTTTAACCCCAGATCAACTGATGAGAATAAACCAGCATCTCTTGATCTAGATGGATTCAGACCATCTGTTCTCCTCCTTTTTGACTTATGCACGCTTATTCCAATAGACTTACGCGTCTTTCTACAAAGGTTAACTGAAAAAAAAATAAATAAATTTACCCCGACATAAAGCAAGCAATGGAAACCACGCCTCGTTGTTATATAGGGCGCTACGACCCGATAATATTAAGTGTATTCGCGAAAATAGTCAAACAGAAAATGTTTTTTTTGAAATGAAAACTTTTGTAGAAAAACTTTACTTCTAAAAGAAATGCAATATCTTTTAGAAAGTTGGGACAATTAGGAAGCCGTTTTTAAGACCCACCAAAAGCCAAAAGTTAATGCTTCTAGGCTATATACCGCTCTAAAATAAAAACTTTAAACCTAAAACAGCACTTCAGGCAGCATGATTCAACACATCGTGGCGCCTCATATCTTCTCCAATGTAATGTGGAAGAACAGATATTATAAATTCTCGGAGCAGCTGAGAGGCTAACATCGTCTAAATTCGCCTCATCACTGTGCCCGCTCAAGACCCTTAAGTAGATTGACCGTGCTTTCCCTATTGCATGGACCATTTTGTACGAACTGGCTTATAGACCATTCGATGGCTGGCAGGAAATTTGATGATCTCCTGACTAGGAATGCGGGCATCCACCAAGTAGCGACTATTGATCTTCCGCAAAGGTTTTATGCGCTTAACAGGAGACCCGCTTTTGTAAACGAACAGGCCGGCGTCCGTGACGCACACACCAGCATGTTTCTGCCCGCCGCCTCGCAGAACATACGACAGCCACGAAAGGCGGGCCAAACCGTACCACGCCCCACATCACACGACAACCCCGCGCCGGACCACACGTAACACAACAAAGCTAAGACCAACGCCGCTTGCACAACCAGCACCTCTGCACTGAAAGACAAACGGTCCAAACTGGCAAATTTGGAACGGATTCAAGGATCCGAAATGACCGCAAATCCCCTGGATCGCACTTATCTATTTGCCAACGGAAAGCGCCGGTACCAAGGCCGTATCCCCCCAGAGAAGAGAATCGCAGTCAGCGACGGGACGCAGCGAACCCAGCAATGGAGAAAAAAAAGCCAAGGCAACCCAATGTTGGCGTAGACGTGGCACCCCATGTAGGGAGCCGGACCTAACCACTACCCAACGGCCTGGAGTAGACAGATCCCCAAATGACGGCACCGCCCAAACTTGTACCGGGAATGAAAAAAAATAAACATTGAGCCGTAAAAAGATTACTTATTAAATACTTCAGCCCATCTTCAGCTTCAGTTCCTTCGCCTTTGCCCTCTCCAGCTTGGCAACACGCGCGAGTGACTTCGATCCCATGATGCCACCGCCCCAATGTTTACGGATCTAATTCTGTAAAACACACAAATACAAACTTACCTCATCGTAGCGATCATTGAAGTTCGTCTTTACAGTCTGCACGATTTTCGCGAGACGTGGCTTATCCTCACTTCAAAAAATGTAAAAATGGAAAATAATAGACATACGCCTTTACCGTAGTGAAAGCCAAACAGGTGCATGTCTTCCTATGCACAAGTCGGCCAAGACGAGCCTTGCCCTTGATGATGGCATAGGGAACACCCATTTTACGGCAAAGAGCAGGGAGGAAGAGCACAATCTCAATTGGGTCGACATCATGAGCGATGAGAACAAGCTGGGCCTTCTTGCCCATAACTGAGGCAGTAACTTCACGTACTCCAGACCTAAAGCACGGCCGCCTTTCTTGAGGGGCATCAGGAGCCCCACCGGCACGCTTTTGAGCCCGATGTGTAAGTTGAGCTTTCTTGGCCTGTTTGGTTAGCGGCCTGTACTTATTGCAAAGATTAAAAATCTGCAGTGCTAACAAGAATTAACAAAGAGGACACAACCTTACACGTTGATCGATCAAGGGCGTACGAAAACTGGTTAATTGGTGGAGGAACCTTTAAACGCTTCTTCAAAATGGCCTTTTTCCTTTGCAACTCAATGTACTTGGGCCATTTAACAAAGCGATACACATTCCGTCTAGGCTGGATAGCCTGACCAATACCAAAGTTCTTTGGCCTCTTTTGAATAAGAGGATTTTTCTTGGTAGGCTTCTTAACCTCCGGAGCGGCACTCTTCTTAGCTATGTCAGGCAGGGCAGCGATCTTGGACCTCCCTTTGCCCTTTACACCTTTTTCAGGAAGTAGAGGCACATCTTGTGTCTTAACTTCCTTTATCTTCCTAGCCTTAATCACCTTTTTTTGGGTAACAGGCTAAAAAAAAGAACAAAGATGAGGAGACCCTAACCTCGGCACCTACCATGACCAACTTTTCAACTAAGGCGCCAATAGGAGTGGACAGGCAGCTTAAACGCGATTCCGTTAAACGAAAACATAACCTACCTAATGACTTGAAATCAAGAATTCGTGCTACCATTTTCATTTAGGCACCAAATGATAATTTGAGATCTGTAAATAGAAGATCTGCGACTCAAATCGCAAATAAAAAGGCTACGCCTTACCGGAAACTGGAGTTATTTCACCACACTTTAATGGATAGATGCACATATAAAAAATAATGATGACGCTAGCTTCGCTCACCTATTTGCTTGATATTTCATGCATTCTCGCACAGATTAAGCTCTTCGTCCAACTGATCAACTACTTTACTAAAGTTGCAGAGCGAATTCATTACCGATCGTTTTATTCCTTCTCTCTTCGCAAGCTCTCTAGGTTTAGTAACAACTATGTACTTTGCTTGTGTTTGACACTGCGACGTCGCCTAATTGCTAAGATCGGCCTAGGCACGAAACAAATCCAAAGAAATACATTGCAACTCCGACCCTCCTAGGCAGCCGAATCCTGTACTGCACGGGATACCTGGACGGCCGAGTCCGACCCCCGGGGCGATTGCACCCATCCGCTTCCGCCGCCACCACCCCTAGGCTCGGACCCCGTTAAAGCCTGTTTCTGAGACGCACCGACTACCCTAGCGAGCACATCAGATTCTGTCACCCGGCCTAACTTATACGCTGAGAAGCCTAGATGGTGCACCAGCACTCCCATTAACCTCGGCGCACCAGAACCCACTTGCGTTAACCCGAACTTTATGCGGGCTACTTTATTCCGTCTACGTCTAAAATGTGCCACATTTTACCAATTTCACATTATGCGAAAAACCAGAGTAACCCATAGGCTAAGGCGGAATGGGAACTACCGAAGTGGTAATTAGTGCTACTTGGGTGATTGCCGCATTTTGATTGGCAGTTGTTTTCCTCCTCCCTTATTTTTTATCTTTCTCTCGAGGATTTGGATGGCATATATATATCCTTAGGCAACGTAGCAAATGCAATTTTCGGAAGCGAATGACTTGAACAATTCATTTGCCCCGCTTTTTACACTCTTTGTCATAAATTATTACGTACACTCGCCTTATTGACCTTGAATTTAAACGAGAACAATCGCTATTGTTCTCACCGTGATGTTGCCGCCACAGCTTTTGAGAGATGCGGAACGGTTTGTTGGAATCCTTAAAGGGGATCCAGGCCTGCTGCATACTCCTGAGCTCAAGTTCTTAAAGGAATACTTAGAAAGGTATTTTTATGTGTTCTATCTATTCTTTTAGTCTCGGGGCCACAATTCCTCCACGCAAAACATCCCGTGATTCGCCACCACAACATCAGAAGACTCCTGAGAAAGAATCTGAATCTTCAGAGGAGCCAGAGAGCGAAGAGTCTGAGCTTGGTAATAGTTATTAGTCTTGTTTATAATCCGTTTCCTTGAAGAATTCGATACATCTGGCGTTATAGAGGAGGAGTCAGATGAACCTCAACCCATGGGTGATGACACAGCTGAAGTGACTGAGGAAATGATCGGAAAAGCCGAGGAGAAGCGCTTTGAAGCTCAGACAAAGTTCTCAGACGGTGATTTTGAGGGCGCTGTGGCTCTCTTCACCGAGTCCATATCTGAAAATCCGCATGTGGCTGTTTCTTTTGCTAAAAGAGCAGCGTAAGTCCCCTTAACCACACGTTTTACCCTGCTTTAGTTGCTACTTCAAATTAAAAAAGCCCGCATCTGCTATTCGTGACTGCAATAAGGCTATCTCTCTAAATCCTGACTCTGCCGCCGCCTACAAGTGGCGTGGCCTTACCAATAAGTGAGTCCCTGTTGCTACTTAAACGTGAAAACTTCAAAAGGGCTCTTGGACACTGGGAGGAAGCTTATATGGATTTGCAAACGTCACTTAAACTTGATTACTCCGATGACGCTTATGAAGCTATGAAGGCAGTCGAGCCTAATGTAGGTTCACTTTTATGCCTATTGCCTAATCGTTATTTCCTCTTCGCGGCTCTAGTATCAGCGCATTCATGCGCACAAGTTGAAGTGGATGAGGAAGCGGGAGGAGAAGACGTTCAAGGAGCTGAAGAAGGCTCATGTAGCTCGTCAGAAGGCCTATGAGGAGGCAAAGCGAGTGAGTTCGGGTCGTCATTAGATACTTATTCCAGCTACTATTTTTGCCAATCTTTTTCCTACACTCTCAGCATAAAACCGAAGCCGACTTTCAGGCGGCTGAAGAAATGCCTTCCGGACTGCAAGACGCATTCAGTAAGATCTTATCAGATCCCGAACTAGTAGCTGCGATGCAGGTATAGTGCAGCAAGTGTATTAAATTCGCTGTCTGTGGCATCATAGTTGTCTATATAATAATTGTTTGCGTTCAGGACCCTGAGCTGCAGGCAGCTTTCACGCAGGGTATGACAAATCCCGCAGCTTTCAAAGCCGCAGCCAGCAACCCCAAATTTGCCGATTTGATGAAGAAAATGGGACAGAAGATGGGTGTGTCGGAGGATGCACAAGCAGCAGCAGCGCCAGGGGGATCGCGGATGAAACCCACTGGAGATGATGGTAGGTGATTGCAGTGTTTCTATTAGCATATTTCTGCGGCTCTTATTTGTTCTTCCCTACTTCTAGCAGATTTGGACTAGGTGTTGGTGGCAAGATCTGCGGTTGTTGATTCGCCTACTCGCTTGCTTCCATTGGTTTGTTAGCTCAAAACCAGTCCCCTTCGATACTTTCATCGGTGGTACCTTAGTATCTTCGTGAACCCAAGCAATAAAATTTTTCAAGAAAATTCAGTTTTTTGCTTCCCCCACGAGATGGGGCAATGTTGAGAAAGAATAGCTGATGGAAGTTAAGATATTAGGTCCCCGGGGCTTCGTGAATGAATTGTGCAGAAGGTGGGGGTTCCTCCCAGTTTAAAGCTCAGCGGATGTACACGCATCTAGGGTAGTTGGGGTCGTGGCTTTGCGCCACTTCAACATGCTCTGGCATGGGTAGGGATGTCGGTTCATTTCTCTAACATTTGGGGGTTGGGGCAATTGACTAGCTGCCGTGGCGGTGTTGATTGAAGGTTGGGGTCGTGAGGTAGATGAAGTGGTTAACACGGAGTTCAGCGGCTAAACTGTGAAAGGTTGTGGAGTAGCAGGTCTCAGTCGGTGTGGCGGAGCTGTATAGGCATTGTCAATTATTGGGGGTCTCAGGTTCGTAGGCACCTAGGCCTTGGTGGAGGGTAACTTCTAATACAAACGTATGGGAATATAAAAGAAGACCGGCAGAATTCAACTGGTAAAATGCGTCTTGGTTAATGTTCCTGTTCAACAAATTTGGTCTCGCCGAAGTGGTTATTTTAGCTAATTATTTGGGAGGAAGTTAGTGCCGAATACATACAGTTCTTCTACGCCAAAGATGCTACATGACATAAATTTGAAAACACTTTTTTCGTAGTCTCAAATAGTCAGCTGTTTATGTAAACTTATGTGCTTCCTGTGTAACTAATCTTATTTGTGGTTCAGATATGGATCTGGACTGAGAAATGTAACGCAAGTTATTTGATAGCATTTACGGAAATTACTTTAAGTAGAACGTCGAGATCGATTAGATACACCGTTGTTCATTAATTCTCCCATTACTTTCCAACTTTCTGATTCTAACGCCAGCAAGGACCATATCAGAAGGGTGGAATATTGTTTTAAAATTCATCTAGTTACGAATTTGTGCCCGTAATATAACAAAATTTGATAAGTATTAGTTTCCAGTACATCTATTATACACTTAGTGATGTACAGGAATGAAAATTGTAATGAAGCTAGTTTTTAGAAATCTATACGTCAAATCAAGAGTTCTAGTATCACTATCCCACCATCTACAAGACCAGGGTGATTCAAAGACTATTTCTTATCAATACAGGTCCTAGAGCCAAGTCAAAAGCCAGAAAACTTGAAGATGAAGAGGCAACTGCCCCCTTTAATAGGCCTCAGCAGCAACTTGTCCCTCATTCTTCTTCATCTCCGAAATGATATAGCCAATCAGACCTTCCCCTTTGTGCTTGCAAGCGGGATGACGATGGCGATGAACTGCGGTGGAGGAGGTGAAGGAAGCGGAGGATCGTGAGATACCTCTGTACCGAGGACATCTACCACTATCCGCATGTTGCTCCGTCGCCATCTCGACAACCGCTCCTCCAGCCAATACCGGTGACATCCCCGAGACCGTCACTGTTGCCTCCTCTATCCCCACCTCCCCCGCCTTCGATTCTATCGTTGTAGTGTTGCTGCTCCCGCGCCCACGCAGCGTAATGCTTGCATTAAATTGTGGAAACACGTCGTCGAGAATGGAGCAACAGCGTTCCAAAGCGCCCAATGATGGCGCTTGGATACTGATTTGTTGGACAGATATGCCGTTTGCATTCTTGCGCACTGGGGTGAGCAATTGCACCAAGCAATGAGAACGTCGGCAAGTGGCGAGGATGCGGCGGTCCATGTTGTTGTTGAAGCACTTCAGCAAGGTCTCGTCCATCAGTGTCCAGAATTTGTAGTGCACAGGGTAGTAGGGTAGTCGGGTGGAACTGCACTGAGACTGTCGCTGGTTCTGATGACCACAGACACGTGTTTTAGTGGTCATCGGGCGCAGTTTCAACTCCTCATGGAGGCGGGATGTGCCAAATAAATGAAGGGACATCTTGTTGCGTCGTAAACCGCTCAATACTGTGGTGGGTGGAGGAAATCTAAGACCGATTTATATATTTATCTTTTATTCGTGAAGAGCCATGCTTTTGTCAATGCAAAAAAATTAACAAAAGAGTGACTGTAAAACGACCCCTCATCAAACCTTACATCTGAGAATTCTTTGACCCAAACATGCTGACTACAGAAGCCAAAAAAATTCTCTTGACATCTTGGAAAACTAAGAGGGGGATTTGGATTTTTATTGTAGAGCTGAAAAGTGGAAACCGGGGCTAGGATCTCTTGCTATTACACTAGTCCGCGGTTAGTAGTGAAAATTAGGTTTTTTCACTATTGTCATGCAACTAAGACAGCGTTCATTTATAATACGGTCAACTTTCCACGTAAGTAGTAGCCTTCTTGATCGGTTATGACCAAGGTATCTCAAAAAGTTCTCCAATGTACCAAGTCAGCCGCGCTATCGTTATTATTCAAATTTTTTTAGAATTTGCCTCGTGTTAACGGGCAGAGAGTCGTTTTTATTAGCTAAAATAGGGTATTGCCCATTTAAGAATCATTCTAAAATGTTTTAATGGAGGAAGAGATACAAGCGGTTTTATTTAAATCAACAATTTTATAAGTTTTATGCTGCTGCATTACATTAGGTAAATGCTAACTGATGTATTTACCATGTGTGATGATGGAATTTTTCAGTTCATGCTGAGGAAACAAATTTCTGACTGTCACTGGGACACGTTAAAATGACCGCAAATATCTCAAATAATGTTAATCGCATAAAATAATGACACTACATTATGACAATCACCGCATACCTCCTGGTTCTTGTTGAAAATGGGTGTGCTGGATTTGCCATATCATGACTTAGAGGCCTGACACCCATTAGTTTTAATGTCACTAACACTTCAGGCTGAAAATGCTCCAAGATTTTAAGATAGTTTGATGTCTAAACTCACCGCTTTAGGCAAACTTCAGCGTCATTTTCAATTCCAACACCGTCGAATTTCTCCAAATCATCCAAAAACCCTTGGAGTATGACTTCCTTTCCCTCCTCCTCGTTAAATCCAAGAATCTTTCCTGGTTCACATTCATTCTTCCCCTCTAGCGTTGCAGAGGCACTGTATTCGACGGCACTGGCAATAGAAGCATGTACATCTTCGTCCAGGCCCGAATCAATGCTGGATTCCGTCTTTCTGCAGTGCTGCCTTTCGCGTGAGACATCTCCGCCGCTGTTCTGCAAGCGTAGCAGCAGTTTTGTGACTAATCTTAGCCCATCCATAGAAGTCAAGGAGCCGCGGTCGTTGCAATTCTGGAGGCAGTTTCTTCTAGCTATTCGTTGCTCTTCAGCGAGACGATGAGACTCCTGCATGAGTAGGCAAATTAAGTCGTCTCTACCAACGGCTACTGAATTTCCTTTGAGTAGATCCATTTCCAGATTTGCCAGACCACTGAGAACCTTTACCTCATCGTCAAACAATTCCAGAAAGTCCATATCATCGGGGTTGGGTTTGGTCGCGTTCTGAGTATCGCCTGCAGACAGATCCTTTTTGATTAAGTTCCTGTGAGGCGAAGCAGGTGACAGTAACACCTCCTCGGGGTCCGAGAGTTGGCTACTCGATGGCTCGGAGAGCATTTCACTCTCTGTCCATTGGCAGGCCTTGCCGAAAAACCTATTTGAAGTGGAAGAACATTGACCCATTCCGCGCACGAAAGCAGTGGCGCGTAGCAAATGCTACCCCTTGGATAGCAGAAGAAATCAATTTATCGATTTTTTAAATATTTCAACAGTGAGTCAGCGCCTCTTTGTCTCTCTATCCCTTCAGCTGCCAGCATCTGCACGCAGTTTGAAAGCTCTCTACGGTGGATTATTGTCTTCTAGAGACTCCAATCACCTAGGCTCGTTGCCAAGGTTTTGGGCTCTGAGTGTTAATAATGGAAACGCCTTTCCTTAGTACTCTGAAACTAATTCTATTCTCCCATTTAGCTTTTTTAGTTCTTTACTTTGCACTCTCTCATAGGGCAAGTGAGAGAAGTTGATTATAGAAATATTTACAATTACAAGAGCATTGCAACTTTTCCCACAACGATTATACCATTGCAAGGGCGTGAGTGGAAATCCTGATTAATAAAAGAAAGGTTAAACATCTTGGCAAGTATAAACGGGGGAATGCTTCCTGTTTTGTTTGCTCTTAGTAGTACGTTAAAATATGTATTAACTGCACGAAGTTATCAAGCTGTTCATAGGACTTCCAAGCGCTTTTTTAGTAACATTGCATTTAATGCTTCTTAAAACTTACAAGTATCATTTCATCTACTTAGAAAATGATTTACTATAAATGTAATAATAAAATTAAGGAAACGGAGAATGAACAAACGTACCACTTATGAGTAGTAATGAATGCAGACTAGACTCTCGGGGTTTACAACCCTTGTCACCCATTGATTAAATACTGACTTAGTTTACCTTCTTGAACTAATTTTGTGTTAATCCTTAAAGTAATTTCCACATGTGTTTGTGAAAATGGTGTATTGCCGACTCATGTTGGTGTGGAATGTCTTCTTAAGGTTATTAAAAGCATGGGATCTAAAGGGAGAAAGTGATCATCACGTAATTGAGGTCACCTCAAAGGGTCAAATGGGAGTTGGCTTTTACTTTAGCAGAAATTTAATCACCTCATTTAGCTATTACTGGGCGTCATTTCAAAGCCTAGATCCAGTTTAAATGGGTTTGAGGTAATGAGATTTGCATTTAAATTTTATCGCATTTTCAAATGCACTTTACCTTAGTGCTTGTACGTCCTGAAAGCGTAACTGCAAAAAGTCAACATATTCATTGAGGGCTGCAATAAATCAATATGCGGTGAAAATGGGTTAGAAAGCTACTTGTCTTTTCAGCAAAAGTTAATTTTTCCAAATCCCTTTGGTATAAAAAACCCGTTTTACATCAAAAATACATGTTAGATATGACCGGAAGACTGACCTCCTCTAATCAGAGTTAAGTGGGACTATGATGCAACCTTGAGGCTGATATGTTTTTCTTCAATGGTGCAATTTTAAGAGAGTTTTGTCATAGTGAAAGGATTCTTTGAAATATATTTGATGTGAAATTCTACGATATTACGCCAGTTTCACATGGAAGCGCTTTGCAATATTCACGCCACCCCGACTGGGTGCTATTGCGCAACAATGAGTAAATCTTGAAATCTTAAACAGGTCCTATTGAAATGACATTATTTGCAGCTCAAAAATCATAATTTTAAGATTATAAGATGACAGCGGCCCAGTACCAGAGAGGCTAAATGCCAACGTGATTGAAGGGAAGGCAAGGGTTTACTTTAGAGAAATGATTCGTGTGCAGGATGATAGTAGAACACTTTCAAGAAGCCTTAAGGATTCATATCTACCGAATTTCGTCACCACCGTAATGCGTAAAAGTCACGTGAAGGCATGTTCGGGGTGGTACACAAGCCATAAGTCGGGGTGCTTTTGAGCATATTCTAGACGATTCCTTTAAAAAACGTCTACGTTTTTCTTTTTATAATTGGGTAACAAAGAAACAATTGGAGTCATTTAAGCCAGAATAAGCTGACCTGCAAATTCAATTCTTCCTGTACATTACCATTCTTCAAATGCAGATACCTCAACTATTAGCCTTGAAGTGGTGGCGTATTGCCAGGAAGTCGATGAGACAATAACAATTTTTACCAATAAAATATTTACTAAATTTTGATTTAGGTTGCAGTGGGCCGTTGACTACTCGGGTTAGGTAAATATTGCACAAATCAACGGTAGCTAACCTCTGATGCTTTAGGATGAAGGTAATTGCAATAACATCAAAAGCCGGCAAGGACACGAAAGCTCTTGAACTAAATCAAAAATACTGGCGTGCTTCTCCATTCAGCACGACAGAACGCAAAAGATTTGGCGTGCACTTG